TACTTCTATTTCTGCATAGATTACATCATGTTCACCACCAAAATACTAATTACAACCCATCACCACACACATGTACCAAATTATCCCTTTCACCCTCCTCCCTCCCCCCTGATTCATCATTTTCTTAACACCCACTTCTTAAAATGGGACTAAAAGTGAATGTGAGGATCCTTATCTTGATCTTTTAATGCTTCTCAACAGCAATGTATGAACTTCTCTTCTAGAGCATTATTTACAGGTTTCTTTTCTTATAGTAGGGAGGTAGGTGGGGCTGAAAGTAGACAAACAGTAAAATACATTTCAAGACTTTAGATAGGGACACAATTTCTAGCTCAGCAGTATGTTAGTTATTTAGTTATCAACCGATAAAAAGATGCTGGGTTAAACTCACTCTTGGAGGTAGAATAAAAGATACCATTTTCTTTTCCAAATGCATCCTCTGCCAGCATATAAATTTGAACGTGTCCTTGCCAGGAATGGGACGGCAGCTCTGCCCATGCCACGGTCTCCTGTGATATAGGGCTAGGCTCTTTTGTCACATATGCCATCCTCTACCCACTGCAGCCTCTTCTGTAATCTGCTCCATATTTGTTTTCTAACTCAGTTCTATACCTTCTCATCAAGATGGTTTTTCCTTCTTTGATTACTTTTCCATCCACTTATTTCTCTTCCTTATTCCAAATCGACAGTTTTTCATTAGCAATGTAATGTTGTTATAATGCTTCATCCTCTGTGTTTTTGTTGCTTCACTTTGTAAAACATAAATCATCATCGCATTTCTCATTACCTTTCTCATTAATTTGTTGGATGCAATAAGAACAAATGAAAATAATCGATCATTTGCAAATCTTGTTGAGCTCTTCCCTCTCTCCTTTTACTGAATATTCTATCTGTTCTGAATGTCACATTGACTTTGATTTTCAGATGTCAGCCAGAAAGGAACATGAATGTGTCTATTAAAAGGAAGGGTAACAGGGGGCCGGCCCCGTGGCTTAGCGGTTAAGTGCGCGTGCTCCGCTACTGGCGGCCCGGGTTCAGATCCCGGGCGTGCACCGACACACTGCTTCTCCGGCCATGCTGAGGCCGCGTCCCACATACAGCAACTAGAAGGATGTGCAACTATGACATACAGCTATCTACTGGGGCTTTGGGGGAGAAAACAAAAAAGAAGGAGGATTGGCAATAGATGTTAGCTCAGGGCTGGTCTTCCTCAGCAAAAAGAGGAGGATTAGCACGGATGTTAGCCCAGGGCTGATCTTCCTCACAAAAAAAAAAAGGAGGGGTAGGGACATCCTCACCCCCTTCAAATTCTCTCACATTTCTGGATTGGGATGGAAGGGAGATTTGTTCTATTTGAAGGGTTTTTTTACACTGTCCCTTTTTGAAAGATAGTTTCCTTTTATTATAATGCCTTTTTCTTATAATGGGACAGATTCCTGTTCCTTATAATGGCATGTGATTGTCTGGGCCTGGCAGTAACTGTGTGTGCCTCCCCCCACCTGACACATACTTTTTTAAAATTTTCACCAGCACACAGCAGTGACAGAATGCTCTGTGTACGTGAGGATTGCGTGAGATTGTATTTCAATTTTTTTTTAACACTCCATCATGTTCTTTCTCTGTGATGCATGCCAGTCATCTGGCTATGGTTTTATTTGGCAAATAATAGGCCAAGATATCTCTTTATATCCTATCAACCCACTGCACTTTGAAATCCCTGTACATAAGAACTCCTTCTGCACTTGGTTTTCTCTGCTATACACTGATGTGTTGTTTTTTTCTTTTTATATAAATTATTTTATATATGAGGTCCCAAATTACCATTGAGAGAGTTTACAGCTCTGCTCCCATCTTTCCTCAGTTTGTCCTTATCTCTCAAGATTTAGCGTAAGAGAGACCTGGAAGGAGTAGTAAGGAGTTTGAGTTCAGGTTCTTCCACTTCCTGGCTGTGTGACCTGGGATAAGTCTCATAGCTTTCCTGAGGCGCAGCCTCCCTATCTGCACTTCTTGCCTCCCAGTTGGGAGGATCCTGGGCAATCGTATATGTGAATGTGCCATTGAAACTGTAGCACTGACAAATGCAAATGAGATACAGTAGTCAACATAGTCATATTTTGTTTTCAAGGCCATTGTTGCCCAGAAGGAATAAGCGTTTTGCTTCTGTTGTTTCTGGTTTGGATTTCACATGAGCGATTCACGAGCATCTCCCCTCTCCTCCACCCAGCCCTCCCCAGTGATAGATGCACACTTCTTCATTTCCCATCCCAGCTTGCTAAAGATTTGCCTCATTACTTTTAAGTTATGTGCTCCATTAGCTTGAGGATTTATACTTTTCTCTGGAATCATTGGTTAGGAGTGGATCTTGGAAAAGTAGTCCAGGCTCTTGTCTTCAGATGAGACTGCATTTCAAGCATTTCACATGAAGCAGCATCTCCCCTGTCCTCAAAAGTGCCTCAGAGAAGGAATATCCCCAGTCTTGCTCAGTAACTATCTACCCCTGTGGTTTTTCCAAAGGATGGTATGACTCAACTCTTTATGTGACCAGGGAGTACAGGGTCAAAGAATCTATGGAGCACTTAAAAGTTACTTGTTGACTTCTTTCTCTTTCTCCAACATTGCCAGTAAGGACAAAAAATCAAACTGTTGTGTTCAGTTGGAAAAAAAAGGAATTCCCATACAATTGTGTTCAAGTCACCAAGTATTAGTTCTTAAGTAAGGCCTTTTAAGGCCTTCATAGAACCCATGGATCCTAAATCATATAAAATATTATTAAAATTCACCCATATTACATAGCAAATACATTTTTGCTATCAACATTTTAAAAATTACTTCTATAATTTTGTTTTGAAATTCTCTCTCAGCAAGTATCATTCATTATTGCAAAGTCAGACATTGTAAGCTATAAATTGTTTTCAAATGCATGAAACAATTTAGCAGTTGACATTGATATAATATTTCCTTTTGTATATGTTTAAACATATTTTTATTTCTTTTGAAAAATTCTTTGAAATCTTGTAATCAATTTTATTTTCAGGTCTTCTGTATTTGGGTAGCCTTTATACGTCTCAGAGACCTTAGACATCACTCTTATCGTACCCAATGGACAGCACAGCCTGCCTGGAGCAGAATTTTATTTCTGAGACCACAGTTATTCTTTCTTTCTCCTTATAATGCTATAATAAATAGTATAGCATTTCTGCAGAGGTGATCCAAACCTCTCCAAAGTTATTTTAGTTTTGATGTTAAAACAATCCTTTTAATAAGAAAAAAATGGCTTTTATGGTAAACTGATCAAGCTCTCCTAATCTTGTTCTCTATATTCATTGAGAATCCCTTCAACTATGAAATTCTTTGTAACAGGTATCTTTTGTTGTTATGCTCTGACACCTTGACACTATGTCCCATGCTACTAGAACGCTCTTTTTTGGTAGTGCCTCTGGTATTTTACATTTTCTTAGCAGCAAGAGGTTAGACCAGAGGCTCAGCTAATAGATTTTTTTTTGAGTATCACACAAGGCAGATTGAAACATATCTTGACTGTACCCCAGTTTTTAATCACATATATCCTTATTCTTGGGGGAGAAAACACACTTTTATTTATTTTTTATTCACATACCTATCTCTTGTTCAGTTAGTACACAAAAGATGTGATGAATCAAGAGAAAGGTCTTTGCCCAGTATCCAAATAATCGGAAGGGGCCTGCTTCTAGACACACTATCCAGCTTCCCTTCTGTGCATCTGAAACTGTTATTGGGATGTTTGATTTGACATCTTTGCTCCAATACTCATGCTGTTCCTTTGCTGCAAAAGCAATGGGCAGCATTATCTTCCTAAAGATTTTGTGACAAGGTTTTCTAGAGATAAAATGTGTAGCTAGATGCCTCATTGTTACACCATTCTCATAGATTTTCAAATTTCTTTGGATAAACTCCCACCCAGGAAATTTCACCTCATTGGATCATCCTGAAATAATTTGCAAAATGTAACAATAGATTGATTATATTGTATATTTTAGAATAGTACAAACTGAAATATACTAATGGTAGGATTTAGCCTATAAACTAACTGAAAGAAGGTTCAGGAAATTTTAGTAGAAGTACATTAGTAATATCTATATACAACTAATCAAACCCATTAATTTCCTATGAAAATCAGTACACTGCTTTCTGCCCTGTTCATTTCCAGTGACAGCTCTAGGGCCTGTGTGGCCTGTGGTCCTATTAGAAGCAAGAATGCTTCCTTTATTGGAGCCTTGCTGCTGGCACTTGCCAAAAGAATTCTTTATCTCAAAAGTGGTTTCTTTGCTCAAGATGGAGTCTCTATGAGCAGACTTTGGACTGTTGTTTTTAATGTGCTTTCTCTAAATGTGTGTTTAAAACTGAGTATAAGGGGCCAGCCACGTGGCATAGTGGTTGGGTTCTGCATGCTCCGCTTCGGCAGCCCAGGTTAGCGAGTTCGGATCCCAGGTGTGGACCTATATCACTCGTCAGCCATGCTGTGGTGGCAACCCACATATAAAGTAGAGGAAGATGGGCACAGATACTAGCTCAGGGCTAATATTCCTCAAGCAAAAAAAGGAAGAAGATTGGTGGCGGATGTTAGCTCAGGGCCAATCTTCCTCAACAACAACAACAAAAAATGCTGAGTATATTTTACAGTTAAAAAAATAATCATGACAAGTATTGTTCACTCTCTGAGTATGTTTGGTTCCTGAATGTCTGGTAACAATTGGCTATAGTTGGGTAATAAGGGGATAGCCAGGTATTTAATCTGAAAATATGTTTGAATCTCTTGGGTTCCTGAGCTCAGACAGCAATGGTTGGATGGTGGGAATTCAGATAGTGAGGGGTGCTTGTACTTGTGATTTATCTATTAATGATCTTTCCTAGTAATAAGAAAATAGCTAATATTTGACTAATTCCAGTGGTCTGGAAATAGTCATCTTCTTTTCAAAGAGTCTAGTATTTGGAAAAGCAATGCATTGCATGCCTTGCTCTCAGTTTATCTATTGCTGTTTTGTGGGACTTCCTCTTCTTTATGGTCTTATCTTGAAGCTGGCTTTGTTTTTTTCTTTTGCTCAGTGCAATAGCCAAATAATTG